GTTTCAGAATTGGATGGCCAATCCTTCTCCCTGGTCTGTCTTAACTTAGAGCAATATCTGGCAGATGAGCCGTTTACCAGAAGTGTTGGTTCCCAGCCCTACTCTCCCAACCCTGTGATTTGATTCCACCCCTGCCCTGCTCTGCCAGCATCCACTTCCTCCAGCATCCACTTCCTCTCCTCCCGGACCCTCGCCTTGCCTGATCAGCATATCCCTTTCCCCTCCCCACAGTAAACTCTAGATATGGTGGCTCAGGCCTCCAGTCACTTGTGTGATGTGGGTCTGTTCTACTGCTGCTGCTTCATTCTGTTTTGAGGCCACAGGCATCACTGAGTTGCTGCCTGATGCAGCACTGGTCTTTTGAGTGGTCTCTGCCCACTGCCACTCATGGAGCCGCTGCCCATCCACTGCACCCCTCTCTCAAGGTTCTCCTGACCATAGCAGTGCTGATGCCTCATGTTGCTGGCATCGTGCATCTTGTGTAGTTCTGAAAAAAAGCAAGTGACACCAAGTTCTGAATATGCATTACTATGAAAACCTGTTAGTAGTCCTTGAGTAGGCCTTTGAGTCATCATGACCTCAATGGGCACAGTAGGACTGGGCTATTGGAATCCATATTCATTTCACTGGATGACTTTGGGAAGTAGATCAACAGGCTTTTCTTCTTCATTGGTTTCTTAGTCTAGAAATACCACTGAAATCTATTTGATATTCTAGCAATGTGCAAGTCTCCAATGATAGATGGTGGTAGCTGTCACCAAAATGCACTGACTGGGAATCTAACCCAGGTCTCAAATTGGAAGGAAACGAATACACTAAGCTACCAACATCCCTATGAAAATGATGCTCCCCTTATACAATTTCTACTCTTTAAGGCACTTAGTTGTTGATGCTGTGCACCATCAAATTTGAACCAACTCATAGCTGACCCTCCAAGGAGTTTTCAGACGCAGTAAACTGCACTAGAGGAGACTGCCCATCTTTCTCCCATGAGCCAGCTAGTGGATTCCAACTGTGTGCCTTTGGGTTGGTACTGCAACTCCTTACTCCTAAGGCATGAGAGACTAAACAGCGAGAAGAATGGGAACCCCAGGACACTTAATTGTGCTCCTACAAAACCTTTACCTAGACTAAGAAGATGTTGTCCTGAACAGAACAAGGAAACACTGCAAAGTTCAAAATCAAGAAAGGTGATGGGAAGGGGAGAAAAGCAAGGGATGAGGGTGAACAAAAGGGGAAATAATAGCGACACAGAGTTTAGTGGGCAGAGGGAGGGGATAAGGGAATTAGGAAATATCCAGTGGGAATCTGAAAAGGCAGGGTAATGGTGGCATGGTTCAATGGTGATTAATTTTCGAAAACAAAGTGTATGGAAATGATCATCTGAAATGCAATGTGAATAAAGGAATGTGTGAAACACAATGTACACGAATAAAACACAATGTATACAAATTGTATATGCAAACCAATATAAAATTTTAAAAATAAATAAATCAATAAAGGTGTGAGTCAGGGTTGTATCCTTTCTCTATATCTATTCAATCTGTATGCTGAACAAATCATTCAAGAAGCTAGACTTTATGAAGAAAATGTGGCATCAGGATCAGAGGAAGACTCATCAACAACCTGCAGAAGGTAGATGACAAAATTTTGCTTGCTGAAAACTGAGGAGGACTTAACACACTTGCTACAAGAGATCAAAGACTACAGCCCTCAGAATGGATTACATCTCAACATCAAAAAAACAAAGTCCTCACCATTGGGTCAACAGGCAACATCATGATAGATGGAGAAAAGACTGAAATTGTCAACTATTTCACCTTAATTGAATCCACAATTAACATCCTTGATACCAGCAATCAGGAGATCAGGAGACACTGATTTTGCACTGGCAAAAATCTGCTATGAATGATCTTTCCAAAACTATTATGGAGCAATGATGTCAGACTAAGGTGTGCCTAATTCATGCCACAGTCTTTACAATCACTTGCTATGTTTGAGAGTTAGACAATGAATAAGGGTGACAGAAGAATAGATGCCTTTGAGTTGTGGTGTTGGAAATTACTGAACATCCCACAGTCTGCCAAAGAACTTTTTTTTGTAGAAAGCGCAGACAGAAATGCCCCTTAGAGGCAAGGATGGTAAAGCTTCATCTCACATACTCTAGGTATGTTGCTAGGAGGGGTTAGTCCCTGGGGAGGGCCATCATGCTTGAGAAAGTGGTGAGACTGTGAAAGAAAGGAAAGTTCTCAACAAGGTGGATTGACACAGTGACTGGAGTAAGGGACATGAGTGTGTCAAGAGATTGTGAGGATGTCACAGGAAAGGACAGGGTTCAGATCTTTTACTCATAGGATCACTATGAGCCATACTCAACTTGGCAGCACCTAGCAAGCGAAACCTATACTTAGACAAGGAAGCAATTAACAGAACAGAACAATGAAACACTAAATAGTTCAAAATCAAGAAAGGAATATGTCAGGGGGTGTTCTTTCTCCATATATTTTCAATCTATATACAGATCATTCAAGAGGGCAGAGTATATGAAGAAGAATGTGGCATTAGGATCAGAGGAAAACTCATAACAACCTATGTTATGCAGATGGCACAACCTTGCTCGCCAAAACTGAGGAGGACTTGATGCTTTTGTACAGAAGGTCAAGGACTGCAGTTTTCAATATGTATTGCATCTCAACAGCAAGAAAACAAACTTCGCCAAAAAAGAAAGCAAAGCTTCTCACCACCAGGGCAACTGGCAACATCATGATAGATGGAGGAGAGAGACTATTAACAATTTCAGCTTGCCTGGGTCCACAATCAACACTCTTGCCATCAGCAGTCAGCAAATCAAAAGATGAATTGCATTAATCTGCTCTCAAGTACCTCTCCAGAGCATTGAAGAGCAAGGATGTCAGTCTAGAGAATAAGGTGCATAACCAGCCCACGGTCTTCATAATTTACTTGCTATGAATCTGAAAGTTGGACAATGACCAAGGATGACTGAAGAAGAATCAATGCCTTGGAGTTGTGCTAGAAAAAAGTACTGAACATACCATGGACTGTCAAGAGAACAAACAGGTCTGCTCTGGAAAGGATGAAACCAGATTGTGCCTTGGAAGCAAGAATTCTGAAGCTCCGTCTCACATAGTTTGGGCATGTGGCCAGGAGGGACCATCCTTGAGAAGGACATCATGCTTGGAAATGTAGAAGGTCAGCTCAGGAGAGGTAGACCCTAGATGAGATGGACTGACACAGGAACTGTGGGAGAAGTGTGTCAGAGACAGTAAGATTGGCTCACACTAGGGCAGGGTTCTGAGCTAGTGTTCCTAGGGCTGCTATGAGTCGTAGTCGCTGACACTCAAGGGCACAAACAACAATTCTGTCCTACAGGAATGGTATGAATCACAATCACTTTGACGGCAGCATGTGGATGGGAAGGCACTTAAATTGTGGCCTTTATTGTTAAAAACAATGTCCAATGGACTCAACCCTCATCACAACAGATTGAAATGCCTGCCCAATTCTGCCTGGTTTTCAAAGTCCAATCCAACTATTTAAGAGCATTTATCTCTTTTGGTAGTCGTCTACTTTTTCAAGCATGATGTCCTTTTCCAGGAGTGGTCTCTCCTAATAACAAGCCCAAAGTGTGTGAGAGGAAGTCACATCCTTTCTTCTAAGCTGCACCCTGGTTGCACTTTTTCCAAGATAGATTGGTTGGTTCTTTTGTCTATAGTATATGCAACACTCTTCATTAATACCATAATTCAAAGGCATCAATTATTCTTTCACCTTCCTTACTTACCTTTCACTAACATTTGCAACTGTAAACACCACAGTTTGAATCAGGCCTACTCTTGGTTTTTAAACTGACATCCTTACTCCTTTCACATTAAAAGTGAACTACATCGTCATAATGGTGATTTTTCCAATATTAAATTTGCCTTTTCCCAGCCACTCCACCAAAGAAAAAGCATGTCTCCAACAAGGCCCACAGCACTTTGGAAAAAGAAAAACCACAAGATGAAAATCAGATTTACACACATTCCCCCAAAAAAGCACAAAGTATCACATTCTCTTACGCATCTTTAAAGACAAAGGATTTCCTACAAACCTCACCTAAACCTAATCTACAAAACTGAATCATTCCCAAAAATAGCTAAAGAATGGGCTGTAAGTAAATAAATGCTGGGAGCTATTTAAGCCGTCGCTCCCCGGATTCTCAGTTTGAGTCAAGCACCTCCGTCTAAGAGCCCGATTCTTCTCCAGGGTCCTCCTAAGAGTTTCCATAAAGAAATTCCCGAACTAATCCTAAATCCTAGCTCTCTAAAGTACTAAATCCCAAGGCAGAAGATGTAAAGAGGCACTGCGGGCAGTCAGGGGACCCAACGAGTGGGCAGCAAGCGTCTAACTGGCCGAGAGCCAGGCACCCGGCCCAGGCCTGTTCCCTCTCCCCGGCCTCGCCAGAGTCCACTGCGTGCACTGACCTTCCTGGGCTCCATCGTCCTTCCAGGGCCGGGAAAGGGGCACTATTCTCCGTCCAGGACCAGGAGCTAACCTCGCAGAAGGAGGGCCTGACCCGGTGGATGCCCGCGTTCCCCACCGGCTCCAGGACTGCGCCCCGCGCCCCCGAGCGCGCGCCCAGCGTCCCGGCTCCCTAGCAACCGTCAGGCAAGAGCAGCAGAGAGCCGAGCGATCGCTCCCGCCAAGGCGCTGCGTCTGGGGGAGGAGCCCTGGGAGTGAGGTCGCGGAAGAGACTGCCTTAGCTCTTAACATGTATTTTATTGAAAATAGCATCTCTCTTTAATACTGACCTCCGCTACCAACTCTTTACCTAACGTGAAACCCCAGCCAAGGTTTGGCTAAGAAGAGAGGTGAGACTTACTTCCAACCACATTGGCTAATATTAGGACCCTATACACAGCAGCCAGGAAAGTAAAAGACGAATTGCTTTGGGAAAGTCAGCTGTCTGAGACTTCTCCTAAATACTGAAGTGCAAAGGTGTCAGTCTGGAGACTAAGGTGCGCCTGATCCAGTCCATAGTCTTTGCAATTACTTGGTATGCTTCAGAAAGCTGGACAATGAATAGGGATGATAAGAGAATTGATGACTTTGAGCTGTGATGCTGGAGAAGAGTATTAAAAGTACCATGGACTGTTAGGAGAACAAATGGGTTTGTCCTGGAGAGGATGAGACCAAGCTACTCCCTGGAGGCAAGGATTCTGAAGCTTTATCTGACATATTTTGGACATGTTGCAAGGTGGGACCAGTCCTTGGAGAGAGATGTCATGCTTGGGAGGGTGGAGGGACAGCACAAGAGAGGAAGACCCTCGATAAGATGGATTGATACGGTGACTCAGGTAATGGGGGTAGGTGTGTCAGAGACAGTTAAGATTGGCACAGGATAGAGGAGAGTTTAGGGCTGTTGTACATAGGGTCGCTATGAGTCACAAGCAACTTGATGGCACATAACAAGATACACAGATCCTCCCCCCTCCCCCCAGTCAAAGTATACATAGATGTTGTTTCTTTTTAGTAATTGAGGATACTTCTTAACTTGCCAAGGTGATGTCAACCATGCTTTCTGGGATTCCAGGGACAGGGCATTTTAGATTAGTGGGGTGTGAGACAGTCTAATTTGCCTCATGTTGTTATGCACCATAGAGTCAGAACCAACCCTTAGTTGACCCTCCAGCAAGTTTTCAGAGGCAGTAATCACACAGAAAGAGATTGTCCATTAACCCTATAAAACAAATCAGAACTAGCCATAGGAAATCTTAAAAAGGTATCAAAACTTCGGTGAAATCTATGAAAGCAGATCACTGGATATTTTCTCATGCTGGGCTGCTGGCAGGTTCAGCTTGAACACATGACAGCAGGATACCTCATCTCAGATTGTTGTGTGCGACTGGATTTGCACTCTTTGTCTTTAGAATTGCCAACAGTTTCTCCCCATTAGGCTGCCAGAGCTCCCTCAACGCAGATTAGGTTGAGCCTTTTAGGATGAATTGTTGTTGTTAAGTGCCTTCCAGTTGAGTATCAGCAACTCTATAAACAATATATCTGAAAGCATTGCACTATCCTTCACCATCCTTATCATCCTCAACTTATTTGAATCTATTGCGCACAGTATTAATTCATCTAATTGAGGGTCTTTCTCTCCTTCACTGAACCTCCCCCTTTCCAAGCATGATATCCTTTTCCAAGGAACAGCCTCTCCCAAAATGTCCAAAATATGTGAGGTGAAGCTTCATCAACTTGCCCCCAAGGAACATTTTGGTTGCATTTTCTCCAAGATACATCTGTTTGTCCTTTTAGTAGTTTATGGAATATTTAGCACTCTTCTCCTACACAACTCAAATGCATCAATTTCTCTTGTCATCCTTATTCATTGTCCAGCTCTTGATGTATAGCAGGTTATTGGAAAGACTATGGCTTGAATCGGGTGCAACTTGATCTTTGAACTGACATAATTACTCTTCAGAACTTTGGAGAGATCCTTAATAGCATACTTTCCAAATGCTATATGTCTCCCAGTCTCCTGACTGCTCATTCCAAAGATGTTGATTGTAGAGCCAAGCAAGATTAAATCTTTTCTCAGTATTTTCTCCCTCTATCATGATATTGCTTATTGGCCCAGTGGTGAGGATTTTTGTTTTCTTAATGTTGAGATGTAATTCATATGCAAGTCTGCAGTCCCTGATCCTCTGAAGCAAGCAGTTCAGGTCCTCCACACTTCGACCAAGCAAGGTTGTGTCATCTGCATAATGCAGGTTGTTGATGAGCCTTCCTCCAATCCTAATGCCACACTTTTCTTCATAAAATCCAACATGTCAAAGTATTTGCTTAGTATACTTATTAAATAGGTATAGAAAGAGGATGTAGCCTTGATCTACACTTTTCTTTATTTTCTAAACCCTTGCTCTATTTGGACAATTTCTTGGTCTAGGTATAGATTTATTAATTGTTCTGGAATTCTCATTCTTCTCAAGGTTAGCCAAAGTTTGTTTTGTTTTATTAACTAAGCAATAAAACAAAAATAAACCTTCTGCTGATATTCTCTGCTTTCAACCAAAATCCATCTGACATCAGCAATCATATTCCTGGTCATGGCCTCTTTTACACCCAGCCTGAACTTCCAGCTGTTCTCTATGTACTGTTTTAGCCATTTTTGCATGCTCTTCAGCAATATTGTGCTTGCATGTAATATTAATGACATTCTGTTGGACATACTTCTTGGTAATGGGAACAAATATAAATCTCTTCTAGTCAGTTGACTAGGTAGGTGTCTTCCAAATTTCCTGCCATGGACTAGTTTAGCATGTCCTGGGCTATATCTATTACTGGGAACATGTCAGTTGATATACCATTGATTCCTGAGGCTTTATGTTTTGCCAATGTACTAAATGCACCTTAAACTTCTTCCATCATCACCACTAGCTTTTTAATTACGTGCTATTGTTGTTGTTATGTGCTGTGAATTACAACTACAACATAGCAACATGTTGTGCTACAACATAGAAACCCCTGTGCACAATATCTCTGAACCCTTCCTTATCCTGAACCAATCCCACTGTTTCCAACAGCCCTACTCCCCATGCCTCAGACACTGTGTCAGTCTATCTCATCCAGGGTCTTTCTCTCTCCTGGGATGTTTCTCCACCCTTCCAAGAACTATGTCCTTCTCCAAAGACTGGTCCCTTCTGGAAACATGCACAAAGTATGTGAGATGGAGCCTCAAAATTTTTACCTCCAAGGAGCAATGTGGTTTCACCATCTCCAAGACAGACCTGTTTGTTCTCTTGGAAGTCCATACCTGAAATATTTAATTGTTGGCTAGTGCTTTTTTGTACAGTGACTCCATGGATTCCCTCTACTCTTTTGATGCTTCCTGGATCATTGAAGATTTGTCCCATAGCACAATATGATAATAGAAGGAAATAAAAGGCATCCAGATTGTCAAAGAAAGGGTGAAACTCTTGCTTTATGCAGATGATATGATAGTGTACACAGAATACCCTAGGGCTCAACAACAACAAAAAACCCAACACCCTCCCACCCCCACCTGTTAGAGCTAGTACACCAATTTAGTAGAGTGGCTGGATACAACATCAATATACAAGTCAGTGAGATTTATCTACAGTCACAAAGAAAATACAGACAAGGAAAAAGGTATATCATTTTCAATAGCAAACCACAAATTGAGATACTTAGGAATAAACCTAACTAGAGATATAAAAGACCTTTACAAAGAAAACTACAAAACATTTTCACTAGAAACAATAAAAGACCTAAATAAATGGAAAAATGTTCCATGTTCAAGGATTGTTGTTGTTAAGTGCAGTTGTGTTACTTGTGACTCATAGCAACCCTACCTACAATAGCTCTGAATTCTGCTCTATCCTGAGCCAACTTTATCATCTCTGAAACA